ACGAGTTCTAAGAACATTGTTGCAAATGCCGTAGATCCCAAAATAAACTCTAACATGCCTTATTAGGCTAATTAATTAAAATATTTACCCTATTGGGCCAAAAACCGGAATCGTATTCATGATTGGGCTCTATAATTGGTCGCTGGTCCCCCATCCAACCCCCCCCCCCACCCCCCGAAATAAGGCTTAGTCGGTGCAAAATCTCCAATGGGACGTGAACATCACACGTGCGATAGACTCAACTTTAGGGTTTAAAAGCGTGAATGATGGACCGACCTTTCTAAAACTAGTTTGAAATTTTCAGTTATTTGATTGAACCATTCCTTTAAACCCATCCCTTTCATGCATAAACCCTATGAATGAAAACTCCACGATTAAAAGATGAAATAAAGTGTCCGTAAGTGTTGTTTTTTTATGTTGTAAATACTGTTGCTAAAGCTAGATGATTGAGGAGACAAGGGTGGTCGGTTAAACCTTTATTAACAGTCATATAGGGGAGCGTGACATGATTAACTAGTAGGATCGCAAAAGACTAAACACCCCTAGATTCTTGTCCAAAAAAATAAGTAATATATATGTTCTTCGATGTTTAGATAATTTCAAAAGCCAGTTTTGTAAATTTGCGATCCATTTTCATTTGAGTTAAATGTTCAAGTAACGATTTAATTTTTAGAAGTTATTATATAAGAATTGGTTATGGTTAATGACGAGTAATTAACTGTGAAATAATAAAAAATTGTAATTTTATTTGAAAAAAACAAAATCACCAACAAAGAAAATGAATTTCATTATACCGACAATAAAACGTAAAAAAGTCGTGAGAGATGTATAACAAACTTTAAACACATCATAATATCAGCAAATTTTATTTTATAAAACTCCAAATACATATTTATAGTTGTATGGTCACAAAATTTTAGACTCTACATAGAATCTTTATATCTATCGATGATCTTACTTTTTTAGTTAATTACTATTAAACGAGTTAGAACACTAATTTTTAAATAAATTCAAATAAAATTCATATTATAATATCTAATAAGATTTACTTTTATTAAAATGATCGAATAAAGATATATATTTTCTCAAATGGGTTTCATGTGCAAAGTTAAAAAGACGACTTTTTAATAAAATTTTCTCTTTTTTCTTTTTAAAACGTAGAAGGAATTTTAAAGAAGAATTGGAATATAGTGTTATGGAAGTGGTTTCAGCTGCCATGTGACCCTCAATTTGGCTGATGATCAGCAACCTCCGAGTGGATTCGTTCATCAGAAAATTCATTCTTTACAAAAAGAAGTGGGATATTCAAGTCCCTGTTACTAGCCAAAGTAATATATGTTTATTAAGTTTCCAACTTATTGATTACTCTGTGGACCACGAAGCGACGAGCGAAACCCTACACAAAATTATAAAAAAAACATTCAAGACCCTTGTTCAAGGGATGCGGGTCGGCTCCACGTCATACATGCTTCATTCAAAGAATTGGATTAAAAAATCAAGGAATAAATGAAAGAAACTGTAATGATACAAAGTAAAGAATGAAAGCACTAAATATAATTTATTGTTTTTAATGCTCTTTACAACATGGTGGCATAAATCAACTTTTTAATGTTATCTTACAAAGAGAATATTGAACTGGATTAGGCGTATTTGATTTCATCATCCCACCTCGAAACCACGATACCAACTAATTTATTCCAGTATAATACTACTCATTTGCAGTGGATAACGTACAGGAGTTCCACTATGAACATACATGCTTTTTTGTGTGTGTGTATATCATTATTTATAATTTGTTTATTAAAAACTTAATAAAAATATATTGGAACCCGTTAAATTGTTTTAATGATTAAAAAAATATATATATATTTTAATATTCTGAGTTCGAATAATTACGTCTTATAGATGAACGTGCATTATTAATAAATTAAAGCATTTTAAACAAAATCTAACTATTAAATAAATATTATAAAATAACTCATTATTAACTCATGCAATAGAGTCATGGATTACTCGTGCACCTCGTATCCGCCCATTCATACGGTGCTATGGGACAAGTTTACAACAGTCATGTTTGGCCAACCAAAGTCCAAATATATGTGCGATCCATATGGTTGTCGACAACTATATTGCACTATATAATAAAGGACAGTGCTAAATGCACTCAAATAGCGCATCTTTTTAAATATCAATTTATTTTATATAGATTTAGTCTTATTTTCGATTGCATTAGCTAGATCATTATACATAGCATTTTGACTTATAAAACATATTTTGGGTAATACATGGTTAAATAATTAAATTAAGGGCATATTACATCATTCATCACTGAACTTTACTCTTATTTATTTTATTTACTGTAGTTTTAATTTTAATTTTAATTTATTCATTAAAATTTTGAATTCTTCACGTTTTGATCACTTTGGATTGTTTTATTATTATTTTTATATGATGTAACTTTTTTATTATTTAATATAAAATAATTTTAAATGAATAATAAAATAAAATATTATTATTATTAAATAAAAAAGACTTAAAATAATCACCGTCCACCATCGACTTTCGAAATAATAATAAAATTTATTTTTATATTGAATAGTAATAAAAAATGCCACATTATATGAAAATAATAATAAAATAATTCAAAGTGATCAAAATAAAAGTAATTCAATAGTTCAATGAGTAAATTAGAAAAATTAAAAGTACATTGAATAAAATAGGAAAAAGAGTGAAGTTCGGTGAGAAATGGTGTATTTTACCCTTAAATTAATTTAGTAAATTGATTCAATTTGATTAATTTCGTCCGATTTGAACAGTTGGTTAAAGTTCTAAGTTTTTCGTTTTATTTTTAAATCTTAGAAGTATAATAATCAATTCTAAAATTACCTATTGAATTTATAAAGTATTTAAATTCAATAGTATATCCAAATATATTACCTAAACTCAAGCCTAATACATCAAATAATTACTCAAATCCAAATTTCAATAAAATTAAACCCAAAGTCCAATTTTATAAATTAAAACCTGAATATAAAATATAATTCAATAAAAAAGGAAGAAAATACAAACCTCTTAAAACTAAATATTTTGTGTGATAATCTAATTTATTTTGGTTTGTTTGATTGATTAGTTTAATTAACTTTTGGTGCACGAAATTTTTGTAAGATTATGGATAAATCTAATTATTTATATCAATTTTACAAATTTTCGTTTAAAGTTAATTTTTACAATATATACGCTAAAAGCTATAGCGATCATAAAAAAATTATCAAATTTAAAGTTGAATGTAAAAAGTATAATATTTGATAGAAAATAGAGAAATAAAAGAAAGCAAAGCATGCAAGGTGATGACGGGGTATGAAAAAGACCACACACTGTATATTCCTTCGAGAAATAAATGGTGGGGTCTTCCTCAAAAGCCCCATTAACAGAGCCTGAGAAGAGAAACCCCACTGCCTCAGCCTTACTGTAACGTCAATACACCACCTAGGCCTAGCTACTTTTGTTTTTCATCTTCTTTCCAGTTTTTCTGCCCACTCTATGTCTCTATTCTTATCTGTAACTCCCATTTTCAAAAATAAAAAATTATCTGTAACTCTCAACGCTCCAATTCCTATAATCATATTTCAAATATTATACTTTATAAATTTGGACATAATAATAATCAATTCATATGTTATAAATTTATACATGATATTTGTAACTCCTTTCTCTTTGCTTTTGCTCTCTAAAAAGGGGATGTCCTTTTCCTTCTTTTTTGTTTTGGGTTGGGGGGATAAGAGAGGAGAATCCAAGACAATGATGTAAACAGTGAGTCCAAACAAAAGGGGTTGAAAAATTCTGCTTTAACGTAAGCCATTGATGACCGATCTTTCTTTTTCTCTTTGCCGCTTTCTGCGTTTATATTCACTCTTACAGTTATAACTTACGATCCAAAACCATTCCTACTATTTTTCTTCTTCATTCACACTTAATGCAACTGTTGGCACCGAGGAGAATATTGTCTCAATAAATGATTTCTTCTGACAAACTCTGATATATAGAAAACCACCAATGACAAGACAGCTGAATGTTTTGATTTACATATATATATATATATATATATATATATATCAAAAGGAAGCAGTTAAGTGCTGCATCATACTGCTGTAGGCTCGTAAACCTGTTTGCATGGCTGATTATTTATATATTAGCATTGAGATTCATTAAATACATCAAATCTCAGTTGTAATTATCTTTACTGTCCACGTTAACTTGGTTGGTTGTAAGTTAATTCATGATATTTCTGATTATTTATTTACATTAATTAAGGGTTGTTTGTTTGCCTCTTAATAGAAACATTCAGCGCGTTTGTTTCGCATCTCTGAATGATTCAGTGCTGATTGATTCAACAAAACAATATTAAATGATTCAACACAGAAGTACATTCCGAATGATTCAGAGTCATTATCAAACAGCATGTCACATTCAGAGCTAATTCATACAGAGCCTCTAAATCATTCAGTATTTGAATCATTCAGCGCTTAATCATTCTGAAATAAACAAACAACCCCATCTCACTTCATTGCTTTCACGAGATATTAGATTTCAAGTTTTTTTTTGACCAAGAAATGAGGATTACTACCCCTGAACATGACTGAAAAACATGGTTTTACTTTCATCAAACATCAAAATTACACTTAATTATAGAAAATGGTTTTAGAACACTATAATTAAGTACAATGTTTGAGGTTTTCATATTTGAGGTAAATGGTAATTAAGTACAATCATCAAAGCTTTTCAACGATTACAGAAATCCCAGTTTCAGTCAAAAGAGCATGTTGATGGTAATATCCGACAAAATCAGAGCCTTTTCTTTTCCTTCCAACAAATGTCCCGTGTTCACTTTTGACCGTTTGATGTTTCAAAGCCAAAGTCAAGTTGCAATCTTGTAATTATTTGTTAATTCAATGCCCATTTCCCCATCACCATCTATTTATACACTCAACCTCTCGCCCTACCATCTTCACTTCAATAGTCACTAAGAAGAAAACACCAAGGACATACCCCTTTTCTGATATCATCCTAATTTCTTCTTCTCTGCCACATAATTCCATCTGATCTTTGAAGTTTACTGTAATCTAATGATTACACATAGGTAACTCTACACATTTCACCCATATTTTATCGTCGTTTATGATTTAGATTCCTTTGTTTAGAGAAAAGTTTCTCTTGCAGGTTCTTTTATTAACTAGTCTTTCCTTTGTGTGATAAAAGTAGAAGCTTTTGTTTATTCCTACCTATGCATGTATTGACTCGTTCTTTATTTTCCGTTCCAAGCAGCTTGGGATCCTTGGAATTGTATCAAAGATCATCTATAAGCTCATCAAACTAAAGATGAAAAAGAAAGGAGTTGAAGCAAGTCCAGTTGTTGTTGTAGTGTTTTTTATGTTCATGTTCTTGTTTTTCAGTTTTGTCGTGTCTGATAATGCTGATGAAGAAATTGAACTTCTTTTGTCTTTCAAGTCATCAATCCGGGATCCTTCTGGTTTCCTCTCAAACTGGGATTCATCTTCCACTTTTTGTCAGTGGCACGGCGTCACTTGCAATAATCTCGCTCATGTCGACAGACTTGATCTTTCTGCAAAAAACTTATCTGGGAAATTAGTTTCCTCGTCGATTTTCCATTTGCCTTTTATCCAGACTTTAAATCTCTCCAACAATCAGCTGTATGGTGAATTCCCGAGGATATGTTTTCTTCATCTTCTTCATCGCTTCGGCTTCTCAACCTTAGTAACAATAATTTCACAGGTCAAATACCAAAAGGTTCCAATCCAGACCTCGAGGTATTGGATCTTTCAAACAACATGCTGTCCGGGGAAATCCCACTAGAAATCGGATCGTTTTACAGCCTAAAATATCTCGATCTTGGTGGGAATGTTTTGGTTGGAAAAATTCCAACCTCGATCTCAAACATCACAAATTTGCAGTTCTTGACTTTGGCTTCAAACCAGTTAATTGGCCCCATTCCACATGAACTAGGCAAAATGAAGAGCTTGAAGTGGATATACGTCGGCTACAACAATCTTTCGGGTCAAATTCCAGAAGAGATCGGAACGTTAACTTCCTTGAATCATCTTGATCTTGTCTACAACAATCTCACCAGCCAAATCCCATCATCCCTGGGAAATCTCAGCGACCTTCAGTATCTTTTTCTTTACCAAAACAAGCTTACAGGTCCAATTCCAAACTCCATTTTTGGACTCAAAAAGCTGGTCTCTCTTGATCTTAGTGATAATTCGTTATCTGGTGAGATATCTGAACTGGTAATTCACTTGCAAAACTTGGAGATTCTTCATCTTTTCGGAAACAGCTTTACGGGTAACATCCCGAAGGCTTTGACTTCTTTGCCTCGTCTTCAAGTGCTTCAGCTTTGGTCCAACAGACTGTCAGGTGAAATACCTGAAAGTCTTGGAAGACGTAATAATCTCACGATTCTCGATCTCTCCACAAATAATCTCACGGGTCGGATACCAGATGGAATTTGCAGCTCGGGTCGGCTTTTTAAGCTCATCCTTTTCTCAAATTTGCTAGAAGGTTCCATCCCAAAGAATTTGAGCACCTGCACGTGTTTGCAGCGAGTAAGGCTTCAAAACAATCGTCTGTCAGGCGAATTATCTTCGGAGTTCACGAAGCTCCCTCTCATGTACTTCTTGGATGTCTCGAACAACTATCTTTCCGGCAACCTTGGAGACCAAAAATGGGACATGCCGTCGCTTGAAATGTTGAACTTGGCAGGAAACAGGTTTTCAGGGAAGTTGCCACATTCATTCGGCAGCCAAAAGATTGAGGTCTTGGACCTGTCGAGGAGCGGATTTGCTGGTACTATTCCACCTAGTTTGGGAAGCTTGACGGAGTTAATGCAATTAAGCCTATGTGGAAACAAGCTGATCGGTGAAATCCCCGAGGAGTTATCTTCATGCTACAAGCTCGTGAGTCTAGACTTAAGCCATAACCAACTCAGTGGTCGAATTCCAACAGGTTTCGCAGATATGCCTGTTCTTGGTCATCTTGATTTGTCCGAGAATCAATTATCCGGTGAAGTACCACAGCAGTTGGGGAAAATGGAATCGTTAATTCAATTGAACATTTCTCACAACCATTTACAGGGTAGTTTACCGTCTACCGGGGCCTTCCTTGCTATAAATTCAAGTGCAGTGGCTGGTAATGATCTTTGTGGAGGAGATGAGACGAGTGGTTTACCACCATGCAAAAAGGTTAAGCATCGGGATTGGTGGTTCTTGTTTGTTATTTGTTCTCTCGGGGCCTTAGTTTTGCTCGTCGTTGCTTCTTTTGTCTTCATATTCATTCGACGAAGAAACAATTTGGAGCTGAAAAGAGTGGAAAACGAAGATGGAATATGGGAATTGCAATTCTTTGATTCCAACGTTTCCAAGTCGGTCACAGTCGATGATATCACACTCTCTGCGAAAGAAGTCAATGGTATATGCAGAGGCAAGTCTTTCGTGGTGAAAGAAATGAAGGAAGTGAACTCAATTACACCGAGCTTTTGGTCTGAAATCAAACGACTCGGCAAGCTTCAGCATCCCAACATTGTTAATCTGATCGGAACGTGTTGGTCAGACAAAGGTGCATATTTGTTTTACCAGTATATAGAAGGGAAACTTTTAAGTGAAACACTTCACAATTTAACCTGGGAGAAGCGGCGAAAAGTCGCTATGGGGATTGCCAAAGCTCTACGATTCTTGCATTCCTATTGTTCGCCAAGTGTAATCGTCGGAGACATGTCACCGGAGAGAGTTATCATCGACGGAAAAGATGAACCTCGGTTACAGTTGAGCCTTCCTGGACTGTGTTCCATAGCGAACAAGCCCTTCATATCTTCGGCGTACGTTGCACCAGGTACGTGACATAGAAAAGCCCTTTTTTTAGTTGAAAATGAATCCTTGGCAAAATATTCATGGGTCAAACCCAAAGTTATGAGATATTATTTTGTCTTCAGTTCTACGATTATTGTGTCTTATTGGTGATTCATATTAGATATTCATTAATATTTCTATGAATACATGCACGTGCATGTTATCTAATATTTTCTTGCATATTTTTCCTTTGTTGACAGAAGCTAGAGAAAGCAAAGATATGAGTGAAAAGAGTGATATCTATGGATTTGGCCTCATTCTGATTGGATTATTAACGGGGAAAAGCCCCGACGATGGTGAATTCGGGGAGCAACACCAAAGCATGGTAGAGTGGGCTCGTTACTGCTACTCAGATTGTCATCTTGATATGTGGGTTGATCCCCTGATCAAGCCAGGCCATGCATTCAACGCCAACCCGAGCCAGATCGTTGAAGCCATGAATCTAGCTCTCCATTGCACCGCCGGCGACCCCATGGCTCGGCCATCCTCAACCGACGTATCTAAAACTCTACTATCCGCTTTCAAAATAACTTCCTGTGTTTCAGCCCTAAAGTTTTCTTCAACTGTTTAGGTTTTCTACTAATAATTACACAGCCTGACTTTGTTCAGAATTTTGGTTAATTTCCTTTTTTGTTTTCCCATGGTTTCGAGTTCTAAGTTACTAAAATGATTGTCATCACTCAAATGTTTTGTTTGATGGTATGCTGAATACGTACTATTGAGTGGAAAATTGTAGATAATTTAAATGCCTTCATAAATGAATTACATTTTCTGTTAAGTATCCTTGAAGATCTTCTATGCTTCCATGGCTCATCAGTCATCACTGCACTAATTAAGTTGCTTACACAAGTTTGTAACTATTAAAGTTCCAACCTTTTTAACTTAACAAATGATTTCAAAATGTAAAACGAGTAAGTGGATATCCCACCCGAAAACCCACTCTGTATCATGCGGAAAAAAAAAGGATTGAAATCTCCTTTTTTTGGAATGAGAGAGAAAAAACTATATAAAACATCTTGTTTTCCCACCTTTGATTGGCTGACATAGAGAGATCATTCTTCTCTTTTACAGCTTGGTTTTTAACTTGAAAATGGCATTTAAGGATTAGATAGAATTCACATGGATTTGGAGTTTTTGGACTCAACATCATGCCCTACTTCCTCCACTTTCATTTCCCTTTGTCTTCCCTCTTTCTTGTAGGAATTTATACCCCTTTTTTTCTTTACACTTTTGTCTTCACTTTCTCATATGTAGTTAACCAAAAAATTAACCACATCACTTAAATCTAGAGAAGTTCTACTGCATCCTTAATATACGGTTAAAGGATCTACCTAAAATATTAATATTTTTTAATATTTTCGGAAAAATACTTAATAATAACAAAATCAGTAGAAAAAAATAATAAAATCAATAACATTTTAACGAATATGTTAATAAAACCAGTAAAACATTCAATAATAACAAAATCGATAAAAACAATAATGTTTTTAGAAAGATCCTTCTGCTCTTTATCCAAAGACAAAGGGGGCAACGCGCGCCTTGTTTGTTCTTTCTGCAAATTTATATAAATATTTGTTTAATATAACACATGCTTGCCTACACCAAAAGTCAAAAGTTATAGTCACAGTTCACAAAGGGAATTGGTTGTTGCATAATTAGATGGATTGAGATATATATATATATATATATATATATATATATATATATATATATATATATATATATATATATATATATATATATATATGTATATATATATATATATGTGAGATTTTGCTTTCAACGGCAGTGAAAGGCTTGGTTTCACGCCCAGCAGCTACCTGTTAGGTCAAACAGCTAGAAAACAGGGACAATTGCTCATGGTGAAAGGGGACCGCTCTGTAAGAAAAATCCTGATGTCTTGATGATGATATTGTTTGTCATATTGTCGGACCACTATTCATATGTACAAAAGCAAGCAGCTAAAACAATGCCTGCCCTTTTATACTTTAACCTCGCATTTCAAGAGTTGTTCATGCTTGACAGGCAATGATCAAAGGATTTCAATATTCAAATGTCTGCAGCTCATGATGATATAAGAGAAAAAAGAAAAAAGAAGACGACTATTTGCAGAAATAAATTACCAACTGTTTTAAAGGGATGGGAATGCTTTGTTATAAGAGTTTGATTGTCGATATTCTAAATGAGATGGGGATAGCTCATTTCTTTTCTAACCTTTCTTGTGACAAACTTTTGCTTCAAAGTGGCAATGATGATGCTGAAGGGTTTTATTCTTTTTTTCATTCTCTGTAAGCAATGATGGCATTGACAAAAATCATTTTCCTTTTCCCTTGTGCCCAAACAAAACTTTTGGGGAGGAGATAAGTTCACATTGTTGGAAGATTCCATCAGTAAAGGAGCTTTAAGCATTAAAAATAAAATAAACTTGGTGATATTTCAAGGAGCAAACCAGCTCAGTTTTGCTGGCACAGATACGATTTTTGAAATGTTATCTTAAAAAGCTTGGAGATATCAATTATGGTTTTTCTCGGAGACCGTGCAAAAGTCTCTTCGATAGCCTGCTTTCTTCTATTAAAAAAAGCTCCTTTTTTTCCCTTAAAAATTATTGTTTAATTCAATGGGGGCATAGTCGCAGATCTTCTGTTTGAAAATATTCCCAGTAAATACCAATTCCAAAACTTTTTATCCAAAAAGTTCTCTTTTTGCATATCACAAGAACGAACCGTGTTTACATATCTCATCAACAACCCACTGAATTTCTTGGTATGGAAGAAATGGAAAGTGAGATGATCGTGCAGTTTCAGTTTGACCAATCTATTAGAATATATTTTTAAAATCATTTGCTGACATTTTTGTCATACCATGCTACCATCAATTTGATCTTTTATTAATTAGGGGGCGAAGTTTCAATCATAGTCAATTAGTTGGTAATTCAATATTTTCTTGGAATGCAAGTATTGTTAGTTGATGTGTCTAGAACTGTGTTATTTTTACATTATTTGTTATTTGTGTGATACTTAAACTGAATATTGTTATTAGGTTATTGCTTAAATTTAGGATTAAGTTTAGGAGAATGTTATTATTGTGTTATTGCTTAAATTTAAGAGTATGTTTAGCAGGTTGTTAATTTTATTTTGTTTAAATCTTAAATGTTCTTGAATAAAAATATAGTGTTTAGTTTCTTTCATCCATTCAGTTTTCTTTTCATTAAAATACCTACATTGTATCATAGTTTTTTTCTCTCAAGGGACCGTGTTAGTGCTTGCTGTCTCATGAAATGTGAAAGTAATTTTTCTTTGATTGCGTCATCTACTTTTGGAGACAATTATCAAGTTTTGGCAGTACGCATAGACAGTGATAAAACCTGACATTATTTGTTAGGGGGCATTTAAAAAGTACTTGTACATTAATCGAAATATCATGCTAATAAAAAAAACTTATAAATCCTTAAAATTCTTTGTTCACGTAAAAAATTAGAAAAAAGAAACAAATACATCAACAATAATGTTACAATTATGTTACCTAGAATTGTGAACGACGTTCTTTTAAAGAAACAAAATCAATCTGAAGTAAAAGTCTCAATATCTCTTTCGATATTAATAACCAAGTTATCTGCAAGAAATTCATCTTCCATCTTATTTCACAATCTTATTTTGGTGATCTTTATAGTTGAAAATGACCATTCACTAGTTGATGTAGACACTAGAACAGTTAAAACAAGCATGATTAATACGATAAAAAGATAAAATATTTTTTATTTTCTGTCTTTGTTAGAGCAACACAGTTGAGACAAACATGATAAATTTTACAATTTCTCATCAAGATGTATATCACACTCAAAATGCTTCAACTGAAATTCCAAATTCAATTTTTTCTGCTCAGTGAAATCAAAAGAATAATATTTTAAACAATAGTGCAAATATCATTGATATTAAAAGATTTATAATCTTCACTCGAATTCAAAGAAAATATAACTTTCAAAAGATCCATCACCTCTGTGTTAAACCTTATGTTCAATTCTTTCAATTGAAAATCAATCACTTCATTTAATATGTCAAAATGATAGTGGTGTTCCACTATTACTTGGTTTTGTTGGTGTTGTCGTGTCTACCTTCAAAATATTGTGCATTTAAATAAGGAATATTCAAATCAATCTTTTTACAAAATAATACCACATGCTTCAACAGACTTTCCCAACCATTCTCTCTCAAATCTTGAATCAACATCTTCGTACTTGAAACCAAATGCATAGCATTTACAATATCTTGAGACTTTTGTTGCAAAACTTGACATAATACATCAACAATGCCCATAATCTCTTTCATCAAATGCAAAATAAAAATAAATTCAAACAATTAAATCATTTTAAATGAACTAATGGAATCTCCTTATTGAGAATAAATGGAACCTTCAATCTTAATATTTTCAAGCACTAAGCAAGTTGCATCAAACATTGTTATAAGACTACATATAGAACGAAAATGTGAGCTCTAACGAGTATATCTGACTCGTTTTAAAGTATCAATTTGTTAATACCTTTTCCAGTTTGAAGTTTATTTGTAGCTACATATGTGCAATTGTAGCTTCTTGACTAGTATATAATTCTTCATGGCGTTTACATGAGGCATCAACAGAATTGATAATGAAACTCAATTTTTAAAAATTTGTGAACAGAAAGTACTGATAACTCTCCAAGAGAGTTATTATTTAAAATCTTTTTACTTATGCTTATGTTTTCACTTTAGCATATTAGGATCATATTTATATTGTTTTTAGTTAATTTTGCATTACATGCATTGATGGAGTGATTTGCTAATTTTGGATTAATTATTATATTTTGATGTGATATTGTTATTATGATATTACCACACTATTTGATGTTGCAATTGTTGTTATGGACTGATACGAGGTAGGATTGTTGGGTCATTGCTATAGGAATCGATACGCAGGAGAAGACTGTTGACAGCTAGATAGAATTCTAATATGGAAATGAGTCTTAATGGAAAAGACTCTCAATTTAATGTGGGGTTAAACTTACTTTTAGGGTTTTTAATTATATATAAAGGATGCGACAACCACCTTAAATAGAGTGCTTTTTAGGGTTTTATTTTATTCTTTTTATTCTTTACTTTCAACCATGGTTGCTTAGGCAATTTTGAGAATAGCAGCAGGTAGACATGAAGGTAAAGTTAACAGAGGGGGTGGTAGTGATTGGTGACAACATCAATGACAATAATGATAAGATGAATCTGAGAGGGGGTTTTATTTTTATTTATTTAAAATACTATTTAATTTATGTGGGATTTATTAAACATTGGATGATATTATTTAAGTATATTTATGAGTTCATATTAGTTAATTTTTCCCATTGATCGATTAATGTTGTTTGGTTTATTAAGGCATTAGTATATATATATATATATATATATAGATATATATATATATATATATATATATATATATATATATATATATATATATATTGCCCAGTACATTGAATCGAGAGGTGATTGTACTGTCGTAGAATAAGTGATTACGAGAGCAACATTTCAGTATAGAGAGATCTAACTGATTATCGTAGCATACTTGGTAAATTTGCATAAGTGGGTATAGAGATATAACACTACTGTGAGTTTTTGGGTGGAGTAATCAAGAGAGGAAAACCTACTAATTTATCTTTATTTTTGTTCACAACATCACATATATAATTTTGTTATTTTAACAATAACATAATTTTTTTCTTTTTGTGGTATATTTTAATAGTTCTTTTCTTCATAAATCAAAGCAATAATTGATGAAAGGAGAACAACATCAATATTGATTAAGTTGGAATAATACCACCTTTACAAAATATTATGATGTTTGTCTGCTTATTTGAAATTAAGCTATAGATGTTCCAAATGTTGCAAAATGAGGCAATATAGTAGGATTCACCGAGGACCCTAGAGCACACTTACGAGCATTTATGTAAGTTTTTGACTCATTCATACACAAGGAGTACCTGATGAGGCTTGAAGCTGAAATTATTCCCTACTCACTTGGTGAAAAAGCCAAGGCGTAACTTAACTCGCTGCCACCTGGTTCTATAGCATCATGGAATGAACTTGCCCAAAAGTTCTTATTTTCATTCAACCCTCCCAATATGAATGTTAGATTGAGGAACACCATCACATATTTCAAGCAAATGGAATATGAAAACCTTTATGAAGCTTGGGAGGGATTTAAAGACTTTATGCGGAAATGCCCAATGCACGGTTTCCAGTTTTGGACACAAATAGAGATTTTCTACAACAGACTTAACATGCAAACAAGGATGGTTGTAGATGTCTCTGCCAATGGAGCATTGTTGGACTAGTTCTACAATGAAGTGTATGATATCTTGGAGAGTATTGCCAACAATGACTACCAATACCCCAATACAAGGACTATATTGGGTAGACATATTATAGTAGTGGGAACGATGCTCTTACACACTGACCACATGTGACAACATTGACTGAAATGATAAAGAACATGAAAAAGTTTGGAGGTATGTGTGAGGTAAAAGCTACATCTCTTGTTAATTGTGTTTATGTAGTGATAACTATAATTTTGAAGAATGTCCAAAACCTTGAGTCTGTGTATTTTTTAAGAAATTACAACAAGAATGAAAATGTCAATGCTTATGGGAACACCTACAATATGAACTTCTGAAATCATCCTAACTTTTTTTAGAGGTGTCAGAATATAGCCAACCCCATTACGATATTGCAATCGACTTTTAGGAATACACACCAACATTATTCGAAGCAACAATATACTTAGCAACAACCAATGTTGCAACATCAGCAGTCCATTATCAGGCAATGCCACAACAACACACAACAATCAACAAAATTTTCAATGCCATTCTTCCAACCAAACCCTAACTTCAACATCGAAATTGATTAAGTCTCTGAAGGAGTAGATCTTAAGAAATGAAGTTGTGATCCAAATCCAGTCAGCATCGCTAAGAACATTAGAGAATCAAGCTGGATAGCTAGCCAATGCGCTCAACAATAGACCACAAGGAGCATTGCCGAGTAACATTGAAGTTTATAAGGCTTAAGGGAAAACTCCTTACAATGTGCATTGCAAAGCCATCACAACATGTAGTGGACTCCACCTTGGAAAATTAAAAGATAAAACAAGAAAGACGATGAGAAGACTAGACAACAAGCGAAGATTAAGGAGTTGGACGTAGAGATTCAAATACCCAATGTGGATGATAAAACAAAGGATACAGGACATAGCAATAATTATGTGACATTGCCACCTGTTATGCCACCAACATTACCTGTACAATATAATCCAAGACCTCCACCTCTATTTCCTCAACGATTCCAGAAAATCAGGGAGAACCAAAAATTTAGAAATCCATTGATGTGCTGTAACAATTGCGCGTTAACATAACATTGCTGAAAGCATTAGAGTAAACACCAAACCATGTTAAATTTATGAAGAGGTGTTTTTCAAGAAACATAGAATTGGTGTAGCGACATTGTCATGAGAAAATTACCCAATAGTTAAAGGAAAGAACTCACATTGCATCTCAATGACCAACAAATTACATTTAATGTGCTCGACCTTCACTCATGCAATGAAAAGGCGAATATCATGATGTTGACATTGTTGAAGCAATAATATAAGAGCAATTAGATGAATGTGGGAGCATTGAAGAACTCTTTAATTAATGTGAGAAAAGAAAACTTAGATGAGCCATAGGGGAACCAATGCTTCTATATTGATCGCGACATCAACAACAGTTCTACACCACTAATGCTGACTACAAAGTTACAGTATGAGCATCTAAGAAAAGCTACAAATGCTACCATGGTTCAAAATGACACTAGAACATCGACGTAACAAGGAATGATTCACAAGGCTTTGACAATGAAGGCCCTCATATGCAAAGTCACCCTTAAAGGCGTAGTATTTCTATGGTGACAATGAAGAAGTGTGTTTCATGGCTGATTCCAGCAAGCAAGAGTTTTTCTTTGAACAATGTTTCGACCATTTAAGTGTAAAAATCTGAAGCTGTACGATAATGTCACAGCAACCATCAACAAGTAAAAAGGATCATTTTACTATGACCTAGGAGAAGTTACCACAAACCTCCATTTTACTATGTGAAATAATTTTTTACATGTTTTCAATATTCATTTATAACATTAGATTAGATTAGATTATGTTTATTTATTTATTTATTAGTTATATTTAATGCTTTTATCTCGAGTTTTTTTCCAGCAAATGCACCATTGATCACCATATTGTCCTCAATTTGTACTTTTCTTGTTACATTTGCTTCACATCATTAGTTGCAGTTCCAAATAACCATTGATGCACAACATCTTCAACATTATTAGGGGAGTATAGTTTTCCTTTTTCCCATGTTTTCTTTTATATTATTTATTTTTGTATGCATTGAGGGCAATGCACATCTCAGGTTGGAGTGTGTTGTTTTTTTTTACGTTGCATTTATTTTTCTTGTTCATGTTGTAAAGTTTTTGTTCATATTGTCGATGCATTAGGATTAGGATGTTGTTGTAGATGATGAAATTTTTAAACTCTTTTTGATGAAATTCAATGACGATTTATTTTTCTTTTTGAGTGGTGAAATGTATTAGGAATGTGTTAGATTCTTGCTAAGGTTAGGATTTTGTAGGAAAACTTTAACACAATGGTGTATGCTTTCAATACTTAGAGACATTAGAAATTGTTGAACCCTATAAATCTCACAGCATTAGTAGATACTATAGCAAAACATTTGAACTTTTTTTTTAAATGCTTCAAATGCTAGAGGTGCCTAACACTGCCTCTAGCATTGTTTTGGACAAAAGGATATTAAAGGTACCCAAAATTGGCTATAGTGAAAAACAATGCTTTTCAAATTACAATCTATTAGAGGTGTCTAAAACTGGATTTAGTAACGAAATGTAAATAAAAACAGATCTTGGAGGTGCCCGACACTGACTCTAGCGATGAAATAAAGTGAGGAAGATGTTGCTATAGCATTGAAAATCTAAAAAAAAAGTTAGTAAGAATAATTTTTTTAATTAGCGAAGTATTGATTGGATACACCTTGCTTGCACACTACATCACTCTATGGATTCTGAGTTTGTTAAGTTGACAACACATTCCTTAACTTGAGATCAGTTAATGCTACCACATTTGTGGTAGCAATAAAAAATTCAAAGCGATGAAAGAATGAGTTAAAAATATAAGTTGGCTTGGAAGCATATTATTTAGCATAATCATTCTTTGCATTGTAGTTGCTTGAGGACAAGAAAACACTTAGGTTTGGGGGGTGTGATAACTCTCCAAAAGAGTTATTATTTAAAGTCTTTTTACTTTGGTTTATGCTTGTACTTTAGCATATTAGGATCATATTTAGATTGTTTTAGTTAATTTTGCATTACATGCATTGTTGGGAATGATTTGGTAATTTTTGGATTAATTATGATATTTTTCTATGATATTGTTACTCTAATGTTGTGACATTGTCTAATGATACAGTTGCTGCTGTGTGCTGATATGAGGAAATATTGTTGGGTCGTTGCTGTAGCAATTGATGCGTAGGCAAAACTGTTGACAGTTGGACAAAATCCTAATATGGAAAAGAGTCTTAATGGAAAATGACTCAATTTAATGCAAGCTTAAACTCTACTTTTTAGGAATTTTAATTATTATATAAAAGATGCGACAACTACCAATTAAAGAGAGTTTTTTTAGTGTTTTATTTTATTCTTTTCTTTTCTTCACCGTCAACATCCTATTAGGCAATTTTGGGGAAGAGCAGCAGCTGAACGTGAAGGCAAAGTCATCACCGAGAGGTGGTGGCTGGTGATCAGCGATATCATCAACGACAACAACAATAAGACAAATCCGAGAGGGGCTTTTATTTTTGTTTAGTTGAAATACTATTTAATTTATGTGGAATTTGTTAAACCTTGGATGTTATTCTTTTTAAATATATTTTTTGAGTTTCATGTTAGTTTTGTTTGCTCATTGATTCGATTGATGTTTACTTGGTTTTATTAAGGCATTAGTATAGAGATATATTGGCCTAGTCTATTGCATCAAGAGGTGAATTGCATTGTGTGAGCAATGCATCGAGAGGTGAGTTCACTGTCACAACATTAGTGATTGTGAGAGCAAAGTTTCAGTATAGAGTGTAACACCCTTAACCCGTATAGTGTACTCTTACAAGTTAATGATGTCACACTAAACATTCAAAACATTCTTAACCCAAAATAGGTAAAAAAAATTCTTTCACAAATTCCATATTTGTAACCATTTATATTAAAATAGTTAATCAGAGAAAATCAAATTACAACAGTTCGACTTCTATTTCAAATCATGTTTCAGGAAATAACAGACAGTTCTGCTCTGTTTCCTATAATAAATAAATTGTCTATAAATGTTTGATTAACATCCAATCAATTAATATTTAAAACATAGTTTAATATCAAAATATTTATTAAAACTATTAATTTATTAATTGCTAACCATATTTATAAAATTCCAAATATTTCTTACTCGTATACGTGCTAGCTAGAAAATTTAGAACACAATTGGATATCATCACTGTTACCTGTAATTATCCATTGGTGATTGATGCCAAGCTCAGCTCCTTACTCCTTTTGCTTTCTTTTTACCTACGCGTGAAAATCATCACACACTAGTATACACTTAATGAGGCAATCATAGAATTATTCAAGGCAATGCAATATATAAATGTAACAATAAATATTCAATGCATCATGATCACTTTACTTGTATTTTCAATCATGCTACTAATATTAACATGATTTGAATCACATATAAAATTTCTTACCAATATAATTGTTAGTTATTCCATAAGCTCATAAGCTTATTCACATGTTTTTCATTTATTACCCAATAAACCATAGCCCAAAATATAAACCTATGAGGTCCCCGCTATACGAGTCAAATATTACACCGTAGTGCTTTCTCATGAGGTTGGGTCATGCCTACCTTCTGTGCTAGGTATACTTTAATACAGTCCTGAATATGACGCCATAAGGTCGTGCCCACCATATGCACTAGTTATCCTTTAGTGCAATACTGAATATGCTGCTGCTGGACTCTATGGCATGTCATTAATACCACTGACCTTCAATAACATACTTGGGCTTATAGTCTTTAATTAATTCATCCATGGAAAAATATACCAATTAATTTAGCATTGGGTAGTTTATACACAAAATATATTCACA